GGAAGGAACACCTCCGGGGACCAGGACATGAGTGGTTCATAATGAGTAATGTTCAGTGCTTCAGAATATTTCATAAAATACTATATTCTGTAAATACATCTTTATTATCATTATAATTATTGCAATAGAATGCATTTCTCTCTACATTATATACCTAAATTACCTCAAATAGTATCTTTAGTATAGTGGTCATGCCTACTTCCAGTTTTCTTGAGATGTCAGTTTTAATGCCATATTGTAAAATATTGTGCCCATACTTCTGCCACCGTGAAAACTTTTCTGCATATATTAAACATCTGAATTCACATATAATCAACTCTGATAGTTCAAGGTAACTGAGATGAAGCAGACGAGGAATTCAATGCAATAGAAGCAACCTGAATTCTGAAAAGATATTATCAACTTTTAAGAGACATCTGTGACTATATGTATATGTCAAAGAAGATAATAAAGCATTATAAATTGACTGCCAAACTTTAGTCTCTCCTCTGTTTTTCTTTAAACAAAGATCTATAAAAGTTGACCTATGTCCTAATGAACAACTATGAAAGGCCAGCACTTATCTAGATCAAACTGTAATTAATATAGTATTTGTTCAGTTAAACATTACACTTGCTGATTTAGTTTAGAATTTTAACTTTTAATTTTAACTCTTCCATATTTAATCAGGCATAATAATAATACAGATACTAGAAGTTGATTACATGGTTCATATGTGACTAATAATCAAGGATTATGTTATGCCTTCTTCCAAATTATTGATCAGAGTATAAACATTTAATAAAACTCCGATTTCCTTAAATTACTTACTAAATATATTTCCTGATACAAAATATATTTCCTGATTCTACTCTTTTTTTAATATCTTTTTTTTTAAAGATTTATTTATTTGTTTATACAAGCACTGGGTACAGTCAGAAGCGCAGGAGGGTGAGAGAATTCACCAAGCCAGAGCAGGGAGCACAGCAGGCAGAAGGAACGAAGTACACTGCTGAGGGGAGCAGCGGGTGGCAGGAGATGTCTGCGTGCCATGTGGGACCCTCCTCTGGTGGCCGGGGAGCAGCTGGGGATAGAACCGGAGCTGCAGAGGCCGCGGGCAGCTTCGCAAACTAGCGCTCCACCGCTGCGCCACCGGGGAGGCCCCCTGATTCTACTCTTGATGCCCACTTTTAGCTTGTTCTTATAATGGTTTGTGTACATCTTTTAACTGTAAAATAAATCATATTACTTTACTATTTAAAAGTCAGCAATAAATCCTTATTTCACTCAGAAAAAAGGCAATGTCCTCAAATCCTTAGAAATTCCCATATGACCTGCCACCATCCTTTTCTGTTTCAGCCACATACTTCGGTATCAGGGCTTTTACAGATGCAGCTAACAATTTGCTCTTCCTGGAACACTCTTGCACATAAAGTCCACTTCACTCATTGTCTCCTCAAAGTCTGCTCTAATATCAAATTCTCAGACTCTTCGTGAACACTGTTACCAATTTTCTTAGTATTTTTTTATCTTGTCTGTCTTGTACAATTAGAATGCAAGAGCAGAGGTATGAATGATCTTTATTTCATCCACTGACAGGTGCCAAGGGCTTTTAATAGTGATGGTGCATGGTATACATGCAACAGGTTTCTGTTGAATGACTGAAAGAGAATGAATGAATTTTTCTACTTAACTCCTACATGAGTATTGATTTACTAGACAATTGAGTCCAACTTAATTTTCTACATTTTCAAATTTTGAAAATCAAGATTTATAGAAAGGTTTTTTTAGATAAGAAGAAATAGTTTTTTTAATAGGACTATTTTATTATACCTATTATAAAAAAATTATTATGTCTATTATAAGAAATCCAACCATGATAAAGAAAACTTCTATAAACATTTTATAGTAAACCTAAAATCATACCACCTGAACATTGCATAAATATAATTACAGGTATCCTACACACACACATATATATGTGTGTGTGTGTAGAATATAGACATTACAGATGAAATAAACTTCTTGACAGATAGATTAGATAGTTACAAGGATGTGGATATATACACGTAGCTAGAACAACATAAATTGACAATTGAGCTTATCCTGGTCACATGGAAAAACTTCAAACTGAAGAGGGATATTGCTTGGTCTGTGTGTGTGTGTCGAATTTGTATGTAATATATTCTTATGACATTTTCAAAATGTATGAGTTGGTTTGAGATGATTAAAATTTTGAAGTAAAATAAGAACATGAAGGCAATTTATTTTATATGTTTTCTAACATCATTTTTCATTTTTGTACAATGTATGCATTTTCACCTCCATTACAGTTCTCATGAAATTCCCACCACCCATTCACCCATGATCTATCACCATGGTCCATGAAGGCAATTTAAATGTTGATATTGATTTATATGAGTCAATGTTCAGTACCTGGAGAGTTATATTTTTGAAAATCTTTAGGATACAATTGTGTATTTAAATGCATTTGAAGATCAAGGGCTAAAGAATCCATTCTCAAGAAATATTATCTATCTATATGTAATGTAATCTCTATATATGATATATATGTGATGTGGCTAGAGATAGATATTCTAGAAATGCTTGGACATACAGGTATATACATGTGGAAAAATATTTTTATAAAATATATTCTAATTTAAAAAAGTATTACATTTAGTTTTCTATATATTTATCAGAAAAATACATTGAAGGACTTCAAGTTTGTACAGATTTATCATAAGAGACATTTTATCTCTAAACTGCCTTAACATTTTGGAAAAAAGAAAAAAAATTTACAAAAAAGGTAGTTACATGTTTTAAATAATATAATTCATTTTTAGACTTCATAGGCTTATGATCGCCTCCAACTATGAAAAAATTAGTAGTTACATCTTAATATTTCATGACTGTGATTTTGTATTATCACACACAAATATAGAAAAAGACACAAGTTCAATATATGTATCTTCATTATAGGAATACATAGTTTATGTACATATGAAGAACTTCCTTATTACATATTTAATTAATGTGTTAATATACTATGGCAGTTACAAAATATTAAAATGTAGTATTGGAACAGATAGCCACCTTCACAATATACTTAAAATGTACTCCCATTTGCTTCTGATTTGTGAACAGCACTAGTGAAAATATGCTTTCATAATAATTCCACAAATTCATTAACTGTATTGAATGAATTAGAAGCAGAGAAGAAATGTATTCATGCAAACATTTAAGACAAATTAATAATAATAACCATAATGATATACTATGGAATACTTGCCATGAGTTAAAACTGTGCAAAGATTTGAGTAAAACATTTGAACATGATCATCTTATGCAGTGGATGATATCCTCATTTGTAAAATGATTCCTTGAAATCTTAAAATTACTTATCTGGGGGTTATGTGGTTGATATGTTATAGTGTGGAAAACTGGTACCAAACCTCTGTGCTGTTAACTGCTATGTTACTATTTTTTGTTCCTCCTATAAAAGGTTGAGCATAATGAAGTTCAACTCTGAGACTGTTCTTATCTCTGTTAACTGAACATAAGCCTTTTAGAAAAAGAATCCCAATGTACGGATGAACAATGTTGGATGAGTCTAGGTTTCTTAGTATGGCATCCTCCTTGGGTTCTTGGCGGGACTGCCTTCTCCTAGAAGTTGGTATTGCCTGAGTGGATATATTCCTCCTGTTTACCACATTTTCTGTTCTATGTTATTATTATTATTATTATTATTATTATTATTATTATTATTATTTTAGCTAAGTTCTTATCAGTGAGGCAGACCAGTGTACATGAGGAACTAAGAGAAAAGGAGAAGAGTTAATACTACAATAGAACAAACTTCAATTATGCTTGTCTAAACACACTAAAAATATAGTACAGCACTTTCCAATTTAGTATCCTACTCATTCTCTTAACAAGGGCAAACTAAACATACGCCAGACTCTTAAGGCAACATTCTTAATAGAACAGAAAACAGGTCATTTTTGGCATCTGAAGTAAAATTTATTTTCTGATGGATCTCAGGTCTATTACTCACAATATTACTCCTTCTTTCTCCAAAATACCTACCAGCCTGGACTCAAGAAAGATCATTAGATCTACAGATAAATGTTAAAATATCTGCCATGCATAGTTATTAAAATAAAATTTTGTATGTGTCTATATTTAGTAATATTCATTTTAATGTTAATATGCAAGGATTAATAATATGAAGTTTTTAATAAGTAAAAGAACAGTAAGGAAATTGTTATCCGTGGCAATATGGTTAAAAATACTTATATTCAATAGTTTCTACTTTTAGTTCAATTTATGCAATTAGAAAAACATGTGTTTTCCAGAAAATTACCTAGAGGTTAACATTATTTATTTCTTTCCTATTGAATATTACTGATTCTATGCCAAATGATATAGTTTTTACTTGTTCACATTCACCAGATAGCTTCTGAGATTTGCATACAGATTATTATCTTAACCTGATAAACGTGCCATAGCAAAATATCCCTCCATTCTCCCATTGCTCTCATGTTCTAAGAGCCCTTATACCCTTAGCAAAAATCAGGTCTCCTACTCCTGCACCTTGACATGTAACACTGTGCCATGTATCACAAAACCTGGTGAAAGGTGTAATTTATTACACCAACCATATGAACTCAAATGTTCAAAACACCATGACTCCTATAAAGCACAAGCAGCTTTATTTGTACAACATAGTTGGCAATTCCCACAAGCCACATAAAAGATCAAATTGTATCATAAATTAAAAGTCTCTAGACTTAAATAGGACATATGTGATGGCTTATTTTTACCTTATTCAGCTTCCAGCATCATTGGGAGTTAAATGCTGAAGAAATAAAGATTTTTTCCAAGGGTTCATATTCAGCAAGCATTAGCAAAAAACAGGCTGTCATCATTTTTCATTTACTAAATGTCATTTCAAGTTGAAGGCAATTTTTTCCCCCAGCAAGCCCATCAGAATGTCATGCTGGTGCTTTGATTTATAGGATTTTGGATCGCTATGTTCAGGAGCAAATTCCTGGTGCCAAGGTTGTGGTGGAGTCCATCGGTGCTCGCCGGCATGGAGATGCCTTTTCTCTAGAAGATTATACCAAATGTGATTTGACTGTCTATGCAATCGATCCCCAGACCAACAGAGCCATTGACAGAAATGAACTTTTTAAGTAAGTAATTTTATTGCCTATAGAAGCTCTCTGGTTATTACAGTATCACCATAGATAATACTGATTTACGATTCTGTGTGTAAGCTCTTAAACATTAAAACTCATTAAATTGTGTTGAAAATGGAACGTAAGTCAAAAAATTCAAAAAGAATATGTAGGGTCCCTCAGGCCCAGGTACTGATATGTCCATGGGTGGGGTAGAGTGACTTCAGACGTCTGTTCTCCTTTTGGAGAACATTATATTTATGAGCAAGGAATGATTCACTGACATTACTTCACATGAGTCCCCACTCTTGTCTCAAGGCCCTGGTTGTTTGAAAGGAAAATACAATTCTTTTCAGTGTCAGTAAACTTGAGGGTTTTTTTTTTGTTTGTTTGTTTGTTTTTTTTTTTTTAGTAAACTTGAGTTTTAAGAACAAATTTATCTGTCTTCAAGGTCTGTTGACTTAGCAAAAATTAAGTATCTATTTTTTCCCTGGACTAGGTGGTAGAGGCAGAGGGTATAATAGCTCCTCTATATGTCCATACCATATGAGATATTTCATCAATGGTGCAAATTTGAATATTTGAGTTATAAATCCTAAATATAAAAAAATATGAAACGGTTTGTATTCTCACTTAGAAGTTATTAACAAACAGCTTAGTATTTTTTAATGTCGGTTTGTGTTTTACTCTAGTGACACCTAGTGTCCAATATATACTTGGACTACAATTCTTAGATAAATTGAAACATTTTTAGTTAATATATAGATGTATAATCATGTATATATTCTAAATAGTGTAGTTTATACATGTATGTATACCATATATACCAAAATTTATAAAATTTGAACTTAGTTGTCCCTTGTCTGTATAAAGTTATTCCTTGTCTGTATAAGGAGCTTATTAATATATAGATACACAAGTTTATATACCTATATATGCATTTATTTAGTAAATATCTAGTTATCCATTTATTAAAATTCCTGAATTATTAATTTAATTTGACTTTAAATCAGATCATCGACAAAATTTCACTACTGTGTTTTAGCAAAAATGAAAATTATTTAATATTAACTTATTTTTAAAAGATCCATAGTTCTTGAGTATGTTATTCATCAACTTACAATCAACAGATATTTGGGTTATTAAAATGTAGTTCCTAATCACTGTGGAGAAATATGGTTAAATGAAGCAATGACTTCTTTTCAGGCTTTATAATCAACCACCAAATGAAGTATCATTTAGACCAACCAATACATGCCAATTTTAGTATATTTTGTTAATTAAGTTTATTTAAGAATATACTTTAAAATATTTTATATATTCCATTAATTGACATTATTAACATTTATTTAAATCCATAGCCATCCTATAATTTTTGCATACACTGGTTTTATCAAATATGATCATTTAAATATAATGGAAGATTATTTACATTTATAGAATTTTTTCTGAATATAAAAACATCTATAGGTCTTAGGCTGTTGAATCTCACTTTATTTTTTTTTTAATAATAAATTTTATTTTTATATTCCCCATACAATTGCAGCCCCCCCATTCTGAACCCAATCTCTCCCCTCCCGCCCCCCTAAAAGTGTCTCTGGTTCATAGTTTTTTGTTGATTTTGATTTTCACTTTCTTATAGTTATTTATTTTTCTGGTCCCTTATTTAAGTTTTCTAGATTCCTGTATGAGTGAGACCAAACGGTATTTTTCTTTTTCTTTTTGGCTTATTTCGCTGAGCATGATCCCTTCCAGCGCCATCCATGTTGCTGCAAATTGCATGTGTTTATCTTTTTTGAATGCTGAGTAATATTCCATGGTATATATGTACCACATCTTCTTGATCCAGTCATCTATTTTTGGACATTTGGGTTGTTTCCAAAGCTTAGCTATTGTAAACAGTGCTGCTATAAACATAGGGGTGCAGGTGCTCTTTGGAATTGATGTTTCTGTGTCCTTTGGGTAAATACCTAGGAGTGGAATTGCTGGATCATATGGAAGCTCTATGTTTAGTAGGTCCAGAAATGTCCACACAGCTCTCCACAGTGGTTGGACCAGTTTGCACTCCCACCAACAGTGCAGAAGAGTTCCTTTTTCTCCACACCCTCGCCAACATTTGTTGTTGCTAGTTTTTTTAATATGTGCCATTCTCACTGGTGTAAGATGGTATCTCATGGTAGTTTTGATTTGCATTTCCCTGATGACAAGTGATGTTGAACATTTTTTCATATGCCTGTTGGTCATTTGCATTTCCTCTTCAGAGAAGTTTCTTTTTAGCTCTTCTGCCCATTTTTTGACTGGATTATTTTCTTTTTTGTTGTTGAGTCTCATCAGCTCTTTGCAGATTTTTGTGATCAGTCCTTTATCATTAGTGTTGTGTGCAAAAATGTTCTCCCAGTTGGTGGGGTTTCTCTTTGTTTTTGTTATTGTCTCTTTTGCTGTGCAGAAGCTCTTTAATTTGATGTAGTCCCAGCTGTTTATCTTTGCCTTCACTATCACTGTTTTGGGTGATGTGTCTGTAAAGATGTCTTTGATGTGCAAATCCCGTAGTGTTTCGCCTATATTTCCTTCTATATATTTTATGGTTTCAGGTCTTATGTCTAGTTCTTTAATCCATTTTGAGTTGATTTTTGTGTATGGTGTGAGGTAGTGGTCAAGCTTCATTCTTTTGCATGTAGCGACCCAGTTTTCCCAGCACCATTTATTGAACAAACTTTCTTTGCTCCAATGCATAGTCATTGCTCCTTTGTCAAAGATTAGTTGACCATAAATCTGTGGGTTTATTTCTGGATTTTCTATTTGATTCCATTGGTCTGTATGTCTGTTCTTGTTCCGATACCATGCAGTTTTGATGATTATAGCTTTGTAGTATAGTTTGAAGTCTGGGAGTGTGATGCCTCCATTCCCTTCTTTTTTTTTTTCAGGAGAGCTTTGGCTATTCGGGGTTTTTTTGTGATTCCATATGAATTTCATCAATAATTGTTCTATTTCTTTGAAGAATGACATTGAAATTTTGATTGGAATAGCATTGAATCTGTATATTGCTTTTGGAAGGATGGCCATTTTAATAATGTTTATTCTTCCAATCCATGAGCAGGGGATGTCTTTCCATTTCTTTGTGTCTTCTTCTATTTCTTTTAACAGTGTTTTATAGTTTTCTTTGTATAGGTCCTTTACCTCTTTTGTTAGATTTATTCCCAAATATTTGAAACGACAAGGAGGACACCAATATCCTAAATGTATGGGATGCAGCAAAAGCAGTAATAAGAGGAAAATATATAGCAATAGAAGCTCACATCAAGAAACAAGAAAGAACTCAAAGAAACAACCTAATCTCAAAGCTCAAAGATCTAGAGAAAGAACAACAAAAAAAACCCAAAACCAGTAGAAGAAAAGAAATAATAAAAACCAAAGCAGAAATAAATGAAATTGAAACTAAAAAAACAATCCAAAAGATCAATGAATCCAAGAGCTGGTTCTTTGAAAAAAATCAATAAAATAGACAAACCCCTAGCCAGGCTCACAAAGGAAAAAAGGGAGAAAGCACAAATAAACAGGATCATCAATGAAAGAGGAGAAATCACAATGGACACAGCAGAAATCAAAAGAATAATCAGTAACTACTATGAACAGTTATATGGAAACAAGTTTAACAATCTAGAGGAGATGGACAAATTCCTACAACTCTACAATCACCCAAAGCTAGATAAAGAAGAAATAGAACACCTAAACAGACCAATTACAAGCAGCAAAATTGAAATGGTAATCAAAAACCTCCCCAAAAACAAAAAGCCCAGGACCTGATGGATTTACAAATGAATTCTACCAAACATTCAGAGACGAATTAGTGCCTATCCTTCACAAACTCTTCCAAAAAAGTGAGAAGGAAGGGACAATACCAAACACGTTCTATGAAGCCAACATTACACTAATACCAAAACCGAACAAGGACAACACAAAAAAGGAAAACTACAGGCCAATCTCCCTAATGAACACTGATGCAAAAATCCTCAATAAAATTTTAGCTATCAGAATCCAACAATGTATCCATAAGATAATTCACCACGACCAAGTAGGATTCATTCCAGGGACACAAGGATGGTTTAACATCCGAAAATCAATCAACGTTATCCAACACATCAACAAAAAGAAATATAAAAACCATATGATAATATCAATAGATGCTGAGAAAGCTTTCGACAAAGTGCAACACCCATTCATGATAAAAGCCCTTGAAATTCTTGGGATACAAGGAACATACCTCAACATCATAAAGGCCATCTATGACAAGCCAACAGCCAGTATCATTCTCAATGGTGAAAAGCTGAAAGCAATTCCATTAAGATCTGGAACAAGACAAGGATGTCCACTTTCACCACTGCTTTTCAGTATAATACTGGAAGTCCTAGCCAGAGCAATAAGACAAGAGAAAGACATCCAAGGAATCCAAATAGGAAAAGAAGTCAAACTATCACTATTTGCAGATGATATGATAATATACATAGAGAACCCCAAAAACTCCACAGAAAAACTAATTCAACTCATCAATCAGTTCAGTAAAGTGGCAGGATACAAAATCAACACGCAAAAGTCAGTAGCCTTCCTATACTCAAACAATAAATCTGAAGAAGAAATCAAAAAAAAAAAATCCCTTTTTTTATTGAATCTCACTTTAAATGTTTACGTAGAGCAGCTCCCCCGCCCATCTGTGACTATGCAGTTGCTTCTCTTCACCAACTTCCCTTTGCAAAGCAGCAGAAAGGCAGCTCTCCCGAGGACACTGGCCTGTTACTATGCAGAACTCTTTTTTTTTTTTTTCTCTCTTTTTTTTTTATTTTAATAATAAATTTTATTTTTATATTCCCCATACAATTGCAGCCCCCCCATTCAGACCCCAATCTCTCCCCTCCCACCCCCGCCCCCTTAAAAGTGTCTCTGGTTCGTAGTTTTTTGTTGATTTTGATTTTCACTTTCTTATAGTTATTTGTTTTCCTGGTCCCTTATTTAAGTTTTCT